CGTGCTCGAAACAAGTTGGCACAGCTATCGCCAAACAGTCGTGGGATCCTGGCAAATGTTGCTCGATTGCCCGGCAGCTCGAACTTCTCCAGTATTCTTCTAGCTTTTTTTTTCCTCTCTCGTTTCCCTCGTTCCCTTTCCTTCCACCACTTTCTTCCTCCGTTGCTCTTCCTCCGGCAAAAGTACGTCGACGCTTTGAAGTTTTCAGCGGACTCGGGCGAACGATCATTGGAAAAATCACGAGAGCGTCTCGTTGAATCCGATTCTAACCGAGTTAGAACGGCGCAGCCGTGGAAACGGCAGACGATTCGTGCACGCTCGGCGTCGTCTTCTGGAAAAGAGTTTCGCTGAACACGCGAGAGCCTCTACTCGACGATCCTTGTTCGTGCATGCTGCGGATTCATCTTTATTCTTAATGTTTCGTGACTTTTACCTATCTCTTTTTATGTGCCTATCTTCTTCTTTCGTTCTTCCGATATTTCTTTTCCTGTACATACGATATTTATTGGTCTCTGTATGTAATAATCGCGATGAACGCTTTTTAAGCGAACGTTGGAGAATTCTCCGAGCCGTTGTTTCAGAACTGAAATCAGCATCGCGTATCCTCTTGCTTTGAATTGTTCGTAACTTTTAGTTGTTTCTCCTTATACAGGGTGATTGGTAATTGGTGGAAATATAAGCGGAAAGGGGGTGATTCTAGGCGAAAAAAGAAGTCGAAAATATAGAATAAAAGTGTTTCCATCGAGACAACGATCTACGGTGAGATCCGTTATAACGAGACGCGATAAACTGCACGCGTACCGACTGAAAATTCAAAGTCGATTTTCTCGAAAACAAAGCCTCGAACGAAAAATTGTTATTCTATATTTTCGACTTCTTTTTTCGCGTAGAATCACCCCCTTTCGGCTTGTACCACCAGTTACCAATCACCCTGTATATTTTGTATAATTCTGTTGGAAACGAACTTGTTACATTCTTTTAACGTGGTCTTCGATCAAAATTATGTAATCTTTTATTTTTGGAGAATACATGAATCACATAAGCCTTACATTAAAAATTAATTGAAAGAATCTCACTGCAGATCAATATATCCCCACATTGCTACCAGCTTATTATCAACCACCCTGTATACTTTCTCTAATTTTGTCTTTTTCTCTCAGCTACATCTTATTGCTTCTTTCGCATAACTTGAGATAAAGGTTGTATAACGTGCATTTGAAATTGAAAGTATCCTTTGATCTTTTGTTCTACGATAGAAGATTTTTTGGCATAAATTATGACGACTGATGCAATCTGAGCCAAGATAACAGAGTATTGTACAACACGATCGTGAATATACTGTAAATTACGATGTTCCTAGATTCTCTTTCTCCTTTAGGCTGGCATTTTGGAACAGGATCGAAGAATAATTTGAATCTCGAAGTCTGTACTTGTAAAAACTTGAAACACTGGATAGAAATGTACAGTAACAGAAGCGTGTAAATCGAGCCTGTCAAAGTAATTTACGATTTTCTGTTCTAGTAACACGAATGATTCACTCCCTTCTGTTCACTCGTGAGTATCGATAACTGCACTTATGACACTGCCTTAGCCACCATAAACGGCTCAACTTCGCTTTGCTGGAATAGAAAATCAAGAGTTACGCGGATATTCATTTCTAAACGTTTCGATATCTTAATGAATGTCCCACGATATTTTTACACACGTACTTTCGATTCTAATGCCATTGATATCAATTTTTCACGTTAATAACATTCATAATACCAGTATCGTTAATATCCATTCCCCGTGTTATCAATCCCGGCATATTTACATTTTTAACATTGATAATATTCTTAATATCAACAGCGCCAGTATTCTGTACACTGTTAACAACATTTTCAATCCCATTGACGCTATCTTAATATCTTAATACCTTAATATCGATACAACTAGCGATATTTCTGTTCCTAAATATCGATTACGAATACCACTTCCTCTATCAGTGAAAAACTAGGTGTATGGTTAATGTCAGAAATGTGTTAAAATTGTTGAAGATGGGCCGGAAACGAAGCGGTTCGGCGCAAAGATTTTCCAACGGCGATAAATGCGAAAGGGCGAGAGCTCATGAGAAAAGTCAGAAAGGTTGGAACCGCCCTCTTCCGTACTTTTTGACTTTTTCGCCGAGCAGGGACCCACGCGATCGCACAAAGCCTGGAACTGAATAAACCGGAAACCCGCTCCATCGTCGCCCCTGTCCCTTTGCCTCTTCTCTTCTCTTCTCTTCGATTCACGCTTTTTTCGCCTGTCTCTTCTCGCGTATACGCGCATCATAATATACCTGTATTTATGCGGGTCACTTTCTACGCGATTTGATACAACCTGCCGGTCTATTATACGTTTCCGGCTCTCGGAAAAGCATTAACAGGATCAATTTGTCCTTCCTTCGAGTACTTTCTACCTGTACAGGTTTTTACGAACGGCAACACGCAGCGGCCTGTGTTTTGAATTGGACAGATTTCCTTGGGCGTATGATTTGCGATTGGGACATTAAAGCGGAAGTGTGGCTGATTCGCGTGTATAATAAAAAGGTGAGAAACGATATTGTCAAGAAGTTGAGGTATTTCAAGAATTTGGAACAGAGTCGGGACAATTGGGAAACTGATTAGTTTGTGACTTGAACCGTTTAACGTTTCAGTTTACCAACGTGAAGCAGATTAAACGATGGACAAAAGAAGGACTAAACGTGGTATACCAAGGATTATCGTAACTCTCATTCTATACAGGGTGGTTGGTAACTGATGGTTCAAGAGGAAAGGGGATGATTCTATGCGAAAAAAGAAGTCGAAAATATCGAATAAAAATTTTTGTTTTTTTAATTTTTTCATCGAGACAACGATCTACAGTGAGATTCGTTAAAACGAGACGCGATAAAGTGGACGCGTACGGAGCGAAAATTCAAAGTCGATTTTCTCGAAAACAAAGCCTCGAACGAAAAATTGTTATTCTACATTTTCGACTTCTTTTTTCGCGTAGAATCAACCCCTTTCCGGTAGAATCACCCCCTTTCCGTTTGTACCACCAGTTATCAACCACCCTATATATTCTTAGTACATCGGTAAGAATTATCCTGGTTAAAGTATATTAGGATATATCGTTAGGATAGTATATACTAGGATGTTATTAAGTATCGTAAGGTTATTTTCCGAAATTATGACATTCGGAAGATTAAAAGATCATGGGAAATATTCTTTTATATACTTCAATGAACCATTTGTGTTCTCTTACATTGGGCAATGAAATTAGTATAATCCCTACTTCAATGACTTTATCGATCTAACAAATACTCAACTCTAAGTTATCTCAAAACCTGTATACTATCCGAATCAGCTCAAAGTATGACCTGATTATCCAGAGTAATCCACGTTAGGAAATAATTGCGTTAAATGTTCGATCATCGATTTCAAAATCTCATAGATCGGGAATTTGATTGCCATCGATATCGTAAACATTAGTATTTATATATTCGATGCTCGATATCTACGAACCAATCGTAATATTTTTTATTCATAGAAATTGACAAGGTACAGATATACGTTTTTCTGTTCGACGCGCTTCCATAATGTCAAACAACGTACAATCGTGACATCAACGTAGCGTCGAAAATCACGCGTAGTTGTAAAAATCGATAACAACGAAAGATCAAAGCCTCCGTATTTGCATTCGTTATTCGGACGCGTCAATTTTTCCACGTTTCGTAATACGTAATACCAGCCACCAGGAAGCCGTGTCAGACCTTCAACGGCATAAACTACGTAACGATCGTGACTACGCCCGAGGACGCTTCTAACCCACTTTCGACTATCGACACACACACACGGTATCGTTGCAGTATAAATACAGAAAGAAAACGAACCGTAAAGGAAGTGGCCTAAAATTGACAGAAGAGAGACGAAGAGGAAGAAAAAATCGAAATGACACGGTAAAAGCACCGCTAATGCCCTTTCACATTAACACTCGACGCAAAGTATGCTCTCGGTGTAAAAAGCCCTGATCGATGGAGCGATCCGATTGGTGGAGCCGCGACGAGGGTTAAAATCAACCCCCTAGACACTTCTCAGGGCCGATCCTCTAGAAACTAGCGTCCGATTGGTCCACACGAGGCTCCACCCCTTCGATGAAAATTTACCCCTAGCGCCTCTGGACAGTCTATTCTCGTTTACGAGCGTTTGCTCGAGCGTTTCGCAATTTCAATAAATTTTCATTCCAGCTTCTGTTACGTTGCACTCTTCGATCTCAAAAGTAGACTGCCGGCTGCACGCTGCTTCCACCGAATAGACGGTGGATTTTTAGACAGGTTCACCTATTTGCTTTTGACCTGAGTATATTTGTTTTTGAAACGAGTAAACGTTCCGGTCGATGGCCATAGAAAGCGATTTCGTGGAATTCGAAGAATTTTCAAAGAGATCCGAGTAGGTTTTCAGAATTCGAGAAACGTCGCATCGATTTTCGTTTAATTAGTTTGGTAGATTAAACTTTCTAATCGTTTCGTTTTCGGTGACAATTTTCATAATCACCTGTCTAACGTTTGTAAGGAACGTTTGTAAGAAGTTAAGAACATTCAAACAACTGGGTAACTATTGAATACCAGTTTCTTTTGGAAAGTATTTCTCGAAGCTGTAGACACGAGCCTACCCCTGAGCAAATCTCCAAAGAAGCTTCTCCTTTCGAGCCAGCCCTTTCCACCTGAAATCCCCATAGTCGAAATGGAACAGTCAGAACGTTTCTCTCTCCTAGATTGATTTCTATGCTGTCCGCTCGAAAGAACGGTCTACTACGTACGCTGGAAAATTCAGCCAGCTAATTCTCTTGGCTGACAGAGAGGGGTGGACTGTCGTGCGACTCGGGCCGGAGGGTGAGCTCGGCAATCCCCGCCCCTGGCGAAGATCCGCCCTCGGCTTCGAGGGTGCTTGACGAACGAAACTGTACGGAGGTAGGGAACACTAGCCGTCAAGTGCTCGTCGAGGACACTCAAAAAGTACAAGGAGAGTCCTTCAGCCTAGACCAAGTCGAATCGCGTCTACCCGTTTCCTCCGATCTTCTCGATCTCCTTCGATTTCTACCTCGATACAAAATGAACGTGATGCGAGTTGGCGCGATGTTTCCGCGAGTTCCTGCTTCTCGTGACAATACGCGGAACGTTTAAAAGTTTGAAACGTCGTTGCTCGGAAGCATAGCGGTGTGTCGTCTAGAATCTAAACTAAGATCAAACTCGTGAGTGTTGGTGAAACGAACGATGGACCACGAACAACCGTTCGATAGAAAGACAGTGGTCGGGTGTGCGAGTGAACTGATCGTTTGAACGACGACCGATTCCCAGTGGTTTGGGCAAGTGATATTTAAGCAAGTTGGAGTAGAAAAAGGGGACGAGAGTGGACGAGTGATAGTAAGCAGAAGGTAGGAGAGAGTTTTAGAAAAGAAAATCGAACGGGAAGAGGGGTGTTAAAAGATAAAAGAGACAGGAGAAAGGGAGTAATAGGAAAAGAGGGAACGTCGGTGCGTGAACGAGTGTGCGAGAACCACGAGGACATTAACATGTACTGACGCCACTACTAACATCTCCTCGACTTTTCAAAATGGCGGACAAGAATAAGATTCTACCCTGGCCGCTGCTATCCTATCCGACCAGTCTCTTGAATCACGTCTGGTACAGCCAGATCGCTTTCAATAATAGGTAAACGAACTAGATGAAAAAGAAGAAGAAGAAAAAAAAAAAGATACATAGCGAATATATCACGTGTACGAAGCTTATTTTGCCGGCACTGCCTATCCTGCCCTACCCGCCCTCTCCGAGTAGTGTAGAATTCGATCGTCGGATCAGACCCTTACGCGGTATCCTTGCGGAATTTTCGCATGCTCCTCGGTTGGATTCTCGTGAAACGAGATTTCGATAAAATAATTTAGAGAAGAAGAGATGGGAGAATGGCTTTAGTTGGCCGAACGGAGAAGTTCTTGTTGCAAAGTATCGCGTAGATTTTTAGTTGGATTCGTGGTAGGATAAATGTTGGGTTTCTCGGGAAATTGGAGGGATTTAGTATATATCGAAATTAGAAGAATGGCGATTCGTTCGTCAACTATTATATAACGAAGAAACAAGCAAACGTTATCTACGGTTGGTTTACAATTTTTCTAAAAACATAACAGAGTTCGAAAATGGCCCGAGATAGAGGAAAAAGTCGTAGGCAGTGGCTCGATAATATTATCGGTAATTATTTATTGTCTCGTAATCGAAAGGAGATCTTGATGGCCCTCGAATTCTTCCACGTGGCTCCGCTGACATGTATCGAAGCTTATCGAGCACTCGTTCGATTATCGACATCCCTGATTAACTTCTATAACGCGCATGGTTTCATCGGTCAACTTTTCGTTGCAAAACAGCTGACAACGAGTAATAAAGAGAAAATCGGCAATTCTTCGATACGAACTTTACAAATATTGCGATGCTTAATTCGAAGTTGGAATCGCTGGTGACTTCAATGCTGCAACTTCCATTTTAATTGCTAGCGAACGAACAGTTTTAGGAGCGAAAAGTAACGCTAATTGGTTTCTTCTTCGACCAAGTTCCCGGTTGAAAATTTCCAGCGACTGTTTTATTTTCGAACGCCAGTTCCATCGAAGTTTCCACGAACTTTTTTCATTAGTTTCGTGATTTCGGTATTCGTTCTGGCAAGTAGAAGGAAGTTTAGTTATTTAGAGGAAACGGAAATTCTTCCGCTTGGGATTTAACTTTCTCATTTCCTTCGACTAAAGTGGAAACTTCTATGTCAGTTCGGAATTCTGCTACAAGTTCGAACGAAAAGCATAAAGAAACGGTATATTACCGTAAATCTGAGACTCTGGTTGTTCTATAGCGAAGAAGAAATTTTATTACAAAGCGCGATCTTTTATTTACACGAAAATTTGTATCCATTTCGAAAATAGATTTTCACCTTTTAGAAATCGTATCTTTCCGCGTATCTTTGCGTAACGAGCGCTTTAACGATCGCATTGCGCCACTGTGCAAGTTTGTAGTTGTAGGAATACAAGTTAACGATCTAATCCTGAAACTCACTAACACCGAAGATCGATAATCCTGGAAATTTCTATATAACGCGATATCAAAACGCTCTGATATCTCTGTCCTTATCAGACTTTTTAAATCTTCTTTTTCCTAAAACACCAGCGAAACTGCGATATCGAGAAACAGTGCGGTCGACAGGCGTCGATTAAGAAAATCTTCTGATGGCTTTTTGAACCAGGAACGTGGCCGAACGTGTTACGATAATAGCTAGGTTCGGCTTAAACTTGAAGGGCAAAAATTCGTTTCTGTAGCGGAAGACAGGTTGTTTGGCAGCAAAGCTGCAGGTATCCAGTCTTTTGACGGCACAGAACGCGTCTAATCGGGTCTTAAGAGTCCTGCTGGCTTCTTGACGCTTTTCGCGCTGCAGGAAAACTTGGAAAATTGGATTGATTCCGTTGAAAACCGACCTTCGTGGCCGACTTCTCGACTCGCAACAGCCTTTCGTTTAAACTAAATCCACGACCCCATGTCTCGATCCTATTATTTCGACCGATAGCTTCATTTTTCTATGATTTTACAAATTCTACCTACATTTTCTTTCGTATCATTTTTTCAAGATAATTGTTTCGTTCTATTTTGGAGCAGATTTACGTACTAACGATAGTTGTGCACGTGTATTTAGATGAGAAATATATTCGAATAGGTAGACGCTCGATCAGCGTAATCCTCCACGTTTTCTAACGATTTTTCTTTGTGGTTTTACTGTTGCAGAATATTGGAGAGCATCAAGATGCCCAGAACAAGTTTCCACATCCATGACATCCTGCAGCTCGATTCTAAACCGTCCCAGGAAGAAACGGAGGTACAAGGTAAGAACAAGTACAATTTTTCTAATCTTTTATAGCCGAGTCGTTTCTCCGTTATCTCGATCGTAGAAGAATCGATTAATTACGCTATCGGTTTCCATTAAAATCCATCAACTTTGCGATAGAATCCGTCCATTACTACGATCTAGTTCTCCCCTTAGAAATTTCTACGCTCGTTTGGAAATTTGAAAATTTCGCTCGTTAAATATGTATTGGATTTCTTTTATCTCCAAATGTCGCGCGTATAATTTCATTCTTAGTTTTAAAACGTTGGAAATTTCAATTCTATCGTTCTATCGTTTTATTAATTCATTTCTCTGATAAACTAACTTTGCACAAATTCCCGACAAAATATTATTGCAAATTTAAAGTTAGATACAATCGATGTTAAAGACTTGGATCCTGAAAATTCTCGTTACAGGTAGTACCACGGTGCTACCGACCACGAACGATGTTCCGTCGGCGTATCAACAGTTTTTCGAACACACGACGGCCATGTTACAGCCCGCGATATACGCGAACTTGAACAGAGGCACCCTACCACCCCCGCCGCCTGGTTTACTGGGATGGCCGACTGGTCCAACGTTACCAACCACATTACCTCAGCCTCTGGAGGAAGTTAACGGTGAGTGAGAAGAAAGAAAGCACGATGAATCGTTGCAAATCACCGATACAGAGATTAAAAGCGATTGGCGACGAGTGGACTGCGGTTGTTTGTGCATTTATGGACAATTGAAATAAAAAAATGCATAGGATGCGTATAATACGAAATATTCAAAGTGTCTGTTGTAATATACAGAGAATGAATCTCTACTTTGCATCTATATATTTTCTTTTTTTGTATTCACAAGAAATTTGCATAAATATCCATAGTTTGGTTTAGTTCGTAGTTTAACTGGCATCATAGTTCAGTTATCCTGATATTAGATAGCAGGATAGTAGATATGCTGCATATTTTCCGGATTTTCTTCTCAAATTCTTCTCGTTTACAGTGAAAGTATCCTTGATTGAATAATAAAAAATTAACTTTATCCACGAGTTTGATAAATCATGGTAATTTTCGTGTCCGAAGCTCTCATCGATTCGCACGTCTCGCACATTTTACCAAACGTTCTTGCGCTTTTGCTGTCGAAATCGACTAAAGAATACTTCTAAGAGGCAGTGTATAACGTAGGAAGAAGGGGCTGTATCGAAACCCTTATTTATTTAACACCCTACAATTGGCCCGCGTCGGCTAAGCAGGATCTAATGGTCCTATAAAAGATCCTTGTGGGTCCTGTGCACCGATTGGCCAATACAAGAAGACAGATGTCCCTTCGAGGACAGATGCGTGTAGCTCTGTAGGCCCTCGATGAATCGAAATTGTCACGCCCAAAAAATCCACCGGTAGCCTATCGGCTCTTTTCACCTTTTCTCCTTATCTTCCCTTCGTTTTATTCCTTTTATATCCTCATCCCCTTTTTTCTCGTTGAACATTCGTGGAACCGAGAAATCGTGCATTTCACCCCTTTAAATGCGGAAAACGTGGTTTCGATCAGGTAGCGAATTTCCTGGAATTTTCAATGTTTTTATATATTTTTTATATACATTCTTCTTGCGAGAAACGATCGTTTGGATCGATCTTTGTAAATTGAAAAATTTCCTTGAGAAATGTCGAACGAGTCCTAAAGATTTATTTAAATTTATTCGCGAAGGGTTAATATTTTAACTCGTTAATCGTTTACTTGCACCTTATCCTTACCAGGATTACGATAAAACGCATTAAATTTCGACTCGAGTATTTCTAAAATTCGGAGAAGCTCGTAAAACGTGAGATATTTAGAAAAACAGAGCTCGCGACTACTTGCTCTCATAGTAAAATAATTTGACAAGAATCGCGAGTTTCTGACGTGAAAGGGAAATTTGATGCTGATAGTATCTCGAAATTAGGGCTTGATTAATCGCAGAATCGTTCTTTTCGAAGATGTTAACGTCTCCGTAGCGAGGAATGTCTAATTGAAATCACGACGCGACTGCGACTACAGCCTAATCTCCCATGAAAATGATACAGTCGGTCCCATGGGGTGCAATAGGGTATCAAACAGGCTCTATATTGCTTCACACTCACCCTAGCCAGGCTTACGGGTCTTTCACAAAAGCGTATTGTATGTTCACGAATCCAGGGACCTCGTAGTCGTACATTAAATTAGCGTGTCTCTAGGCCACCGCGGTATTTGCCACTTTAGCCGAAGATTAATCAAAATATTGTTGGATTAAACGGCGAACAGACCGAGTATACTAAATGCTGGTCTCTATGCTTTCTTTATCTCTAATTTCTAACCCAAGTTTCGTCGTTTTTTATTATATATTTATTTTTTAGAATTTTACGATTAACAGCAGTTTAAAATTTAGTCAAATCTTCTTTTATTGTACTTTTCTCGAACATTTCTTGCTATTGCTAATCCAAGTTTCGTCGTTTTTTGTTATGTATTTATTTTTTAGAATTTTACAATTAACAGCAGCTTAATAATTAGTCAAATCTTCCACTTGTGTATAAATCGAGAGTACTTTTATTGTATCTCGAACATTTCCTGCTATTTCTAATCCAAGTTTCGTTGTTTTTTGTTACATATTTATTTTTTAGAATTTTAGAATTAACAGCAGTTTAATAATTAGTCAAATCTTCTTTTATTGTACTTTTATTGTATCTCGAGCATTTCCTGCTATTTCTAATCCAAATTTCGTTGTTTTTTGTTACATATTTATTTTTTAGAATTTTACGATTAACAGCAGCTTAATAATTAGTCAAATCTTCCACTTGTGTATCAATGTGAGAGTACTTTTATCGTATCTCGAACATTTCCTGCTGTTTGCAATGTTTAATAGTTGGCAGAGCAATTTCGCTGTACGAACGATCGATCGATTTATATTGTTTCCTTGCAAATGGAATATCGTAGCAGTCATCGTCGGCGAAACATCGACGGTTTAATCGCTTAATTTATCCTGATGCATTTAAATAAGCTACGTATGTACGTCGTCTGAACGATGAGCAAACACTCGTTAACAAGACTCGAGAAGATCGATACAGGCTTGCATCTGCCTGCAATCAACGTTAGGAGTTGAAGGGTAGTAAAAAATACAGCTGTAGCAATATTTCAGTCATTCTGACGATGATTCTTTTCAAACGATGTTTATTCATTTTTGAGGAACTAAAACGAAATTGACTTCTAACTCCGGGTGCAGACGTAGTAATGACTAAATATCGGAAAAGCAACATATACGAGTAACTGTCAGAGACATAGAAATTACACGATTTTGTCAAAACATCGTTTAAACGATTATGATCGTAGAAAAGTTAGAAAAATACTAGATTAGTAAAAAAGCGTTTACAGCTCTTTAATCTACTAATTTTCAATCGAGAGACGAGAAATTATAATTCATCCTGATTTACAGATACTTATTTAACTTGGTATCCGATCAATTCTACAAGATTAATGCGCAAATTCCAATTGGTTGTTCTTAAAATTCCGTCCAAGTTCAACCTATTTTCATCGCTCGATCTCCCAAACGCTTTTCACAAGATTCGGCGAATCGTCGAATTTTCTTACAATCGATGTGTAGAATATCTGAGAAACTTTCGTAGCGTTCATCGATCGATCGAAATTCGCCTGTACCAGCCAATTCGACTAAAAAATCCCACGAGAAACGTACGTTCAACTTGGAAAGTAATATCGTGATGTTCAAAATTGCAGTGTTGCAGCAGCCAGACTCAACGAGCCCGACGATCTCGGACCTTTCGTTCCCGCCGAAACAGGAGACAAACCACGAGTGCAAAGAGGAGGAGTCTGCTGATTTCGAAGACGAGCAGCAGGCAAACGAGGCGCAACCACACGAGACTGAACACAAGAAACGAAAAAGACGAGTGTTGTTCTCGAAAGCGCAAACGTTCGAGCTCGAGAGGCGTTTTCGACAACAGAGATACTTGAGCGCGCCGGAAAGAGAGCATCTGGCCTCGATCATTCGACTGACGCCCACGCAGGTGAAAATTTGGTTCCAGAATCACAGGTACAAGACAAAACGTGCAGCCACTGAAAGGGTAGAGGCCAGTGGAAGTGGATGTTCACCCAGAAGAGTCGCGGTCCCATTGTTGATCAAGGATGGAAAACCTTGTCAGTCGAAATTAATGGAACCTACCACGTATCCAAGCACTGGCCAAGTTCCTATGCCTCCATACATGCAAAAGCCATACTGGTGGTAAAAAAAGCAACGGTGAACTGTTAAACGCAATCGTCGAATGAATTGCGAATCAATTTCATCGTGGACTGTTGCTAGACTATTGGACATTGTTGGCACTGGGATATCTGCGGGATTGTTGGGAAATGGGAATCGGGATAATCGTTATAGGGGTAGATTTATCCGCAGGTTTGTGGACGAAACGGTGGAAGATTGTTATTGTTAAGTGATTAGATTCCGGTGATGCAAGATGAAATATGGTTACTGTCTACGAATAATGGACACTCTTCCTGAAACGAAGAAGAGAAAATGGACGGGTGATGTCTTCTCTTGTGAATAAAACTGTTGATGGTTTTCGCGACCGAATTCTGCGAAGATTTGTCAACGATTCGATCGATGGTTATTATTTATGGACAACGAAGAGTGGATGTTTCCAAGAGGAGTTAACAGGAAACAGAGTTTCTCTATTGAATGTTAATATTAATATTGATAATTATCGGATTTCGATGAACGAAGATCGAGAGATAACTTGTGAATAATTTCGTCGATGATTATTACCAACAACCAGGGTTAGATATTTTTGAAAGGAAGAATAATCCGAGTGGAACGTAGCAACCGAACGTATTTATCGATCATTGATGAACAGGCCCATCCGAAATCGGGAAGGTATCTTAAAACCACAGTCAACAACGGATTAAGTGCTTCGTAAACAATATCTTAACTGAAAAGTTCAGTTCTTAAAAAAGACAAGTGATAATCGAAGAATCTTAAAGTAATATATTATACCGGTAAACATCGACGATAAAAATCGGTTACGAACAAGTCAATAAGACGTTGTTATCGATAATTCCCAGAATACGGAGAATACAAATTGACCAAGAAAAAGTCACTGAGATGTTGTGGATCGAAGAAAAAAAAAACACACAAAGTTGGCATCCGAAGGATAACTTTAAGAAAAACCATGCTGAAACTCCGAAGTGAATTCCGATGGGAAAAGAATGTTACCGTTACCATTCGTAGTAAGATTATCAAGAATGAAACGTATTATTAGCGTAGGTATCGTTAACAGTAACGAAGAGCGTGTTGTCTACAGAACTTCGAGGATATTCGTGTTCTCATCGTCAGAATAAACGAATTACTCCCGGTCGAAGTTGACGATAGACAGAGGCGTTCTAATTCGATATAGAAATGATCGAACGCTACACGATGGAGACACGGTGGCAATTACGCGAATTCGATGAAACTTTTAATCGATAAAAGTGTCATTCGAGTGATACTATGCGACTACCGATGTGACTACGTCGTGTTTCCTCGATCGTATCAGATGTTCGCGGTGGACTGGCAAAACCAAAGATGAAAAATCCTAAACGTCGTAACGACAGAGTGATCTACTACGCTATAAATAGACAATTGGATAAGATACGTATGTATATACGTAAGCATCGTGGAGTCAAAACTTTGGAATCACTGTACGAGTTGATGTATAATTTTGCTAATTCGTAAAACTTTCTAGTCAAATAAATTTAAATTAACTAAACTAGAGAAACTAAAGAACTTTGACTATAAAGAACGATTTCGATTAGATTACTTAATTTTAGAGTGTTGATAGGTTTTATCGCATAAAATCAAGAATAATATGCAATAAGGCTGGGTATCCTAAAAAATTAAGTAGCTTAATTTAAATTATTGTAATTATTATAATTTAACGATCATCCATCACCCCCAACCACACCTTTACCGATATCTGAAATAGCTTTAATACCAAATATCCTCGAATACTCCTATAAGCAACTATCGTTAGTCGAGAAGATCGATTAAGCATAGCTAAGAGCGTGATTTCAAATTTTTGGCCAGTATCGTAGGATCGATCGTTAGATAGATTCGCAGTTTCCAGGTTATTCGTTTTCTTTCTTCGATTTGTACAAAGCTGTGGTTAGTCCATGTAGCGTGTATGTATGTGTATATATGAGTGTACTTTGAGAAAAGTATTTCTCGCGTTCGTACTTAAAGATCCTAACAGAGATCCGTCGTTCCTTCTTACGGACAACGGATAAAAAAATTAAGTATAATATCAAAGTTAATATCGTCGTTTTTCGTAAGACGTTTGCAAAAGGAAAAATGGCGTGCAGCAAAATTGCAAAGATTCCTGATTGTTCTTATGTAATACGAACACACCACTTTCTATCAATCTAATCGCGATAACGAGATAAAATAAAGCGAAAAACAATCTCTCGTGGAGAGTTAGAGAGTAAAAAGGTCGTTACATGTACATTCTTACAAAATGTAATTAGTCGGAAGAATCAAGCTTGCAACACGAAAGATTTAATCCTTAAAGGTTGTCACTGGCGAAAGATTGCAGCACATCTTACAAATCAAAATAATGTCCATTTATTATCGTTCGATATTAAACATTATTAGAACATTCTTTTATTTGCAGTGATTAGAAATAATAATATTGCGATGGGTAGACGAAAATTCGTATGGGACGAAATCCCACGCATGATAGCCTTTAAGGGATAATTTCTTTTCTTTTCTTTTTTTTTGAGATGAAAAGAAAAATCATCGTATATAGATTCGTAGCAGAAATTCGAATATCGTGATCGTTGAGAAAAATATCACACGGTAAGTCGTTAATTGTATGATTTGAACGTCCGTTGTAAAATAAACGCAGTCCAGTTTTGTAAATGTTACGCGTTAAAGATCTTTTTCGCGTTATCGTACTACCAAGATTCTCGATTGTTTCGTTTCTCAGAGAGAACGTTTCGTAGAACGAGGGTGGGAAGCTGGTATTATAGTGTAATTATAGAGAAGTGACGTGACAGATACCAGTCGATACAGAGATCCCAGTTTATCACCTTTAATTAAGTAGCATGTAATTACGTCGAATAGGTTGTATATATGTACATTGTGTATAATACATAGTAGTCTGATATATCAGATACATATTTAATAAAATCGAATCTTAAGCGAATCGATTGTATTTTATTCCTTCTCTCCCATTGGAAAAAAGACATCGTAACGTCAAAATGCTTCGAAGCGAAACAACGATGCCAAACAACGACCATATATACGCTCTTTTTAAAGTAATAAATCAGAGTCTCCTAGATATTATAAAATATAGAATATCAGAAATGTTGAATATTTGAAAAGCATTCCGAAGAAAGAAATAAATAATTTTAATATCGTCGTTTGACTCTTCTATAAAGTCATAAAATATATCTGCGACATGTGAAAATTCATGATCGATATTAACCTGTATATCAATATATCGTTTCGTAATATGATACAGGAGTTTTAATATCGCTCTGACGTATTTTGTTGTCAAGAACATCGACTAAAACTAGATTAGCAAGTTCGTAATTGCTACTGGAATCAAACAGATGTAACGATTATAATTATCAGTCGAGTCGTATGATCTTTTGCATGAAACGGTGTAGACGTAATATCCGATGATAAGTAGTTCGTAATTATTCAAGTGATTTCATACGTTACCTACGTATTGATCGAGAACATACGATTATCGATATTGGTACTATACGATGTTGCGAAATTTGCCTCCTCGAATTGAAAATGATTATATACCCCGAATAAAGAGATAACGAAAGTTATCGGCAATGCTTTAAGTAGGAAGAATGGTAAATTGAAAAATGATTCTTCTTATCGTGGAAAATCGCTCTGATTGCTGCGATGTATATTTTCAGACAATGATCGTCATTTTTAATCGTTTAATTGATACGTCTCGACGTTTCTAATCATCGACGGATAAAAGATTTGCCTAATCGAATTTTAGATCGAACTATTAGCTTTCTAAACGCAACGAGGGTATAATTGGAATATCGAAATATCGCGACTTGAAATTTTCTTTCATCATTTTATGAAAATAAATGTTTATGTAATATCTATATACGCGTATGATAATTTAAGCAAGCATTTACAAGAGAAACGCGATAAAACAATACACTCGAGACAGATCTCTCCCCTATTCCATCCCTCGTTCCTTTTTATTTCTCTTCTCGACCGTTCTATAACATTTCCCTTTTTCGGGACACGCCGGAAGACGGTGTAGCTTGAGTGACAAGCTTCCGGTTTCCGTTTCCGAGCAGCCATCTTGTTACCGGTTTAGATTTCCTGAGGGCGTCCTGTCGAACTTCGACAGGGGCCACATTTCGATCTCTGTGTCCAGAACTTTCCATTTTTCCATCACAATGCCAACGATATCGTAATCCACTCGAATTTGCGTCGTGTACCGTTCGCATAGAAACTGACGACTGAGTACGTTTCGTAAAACTGAACTTTAAGTCACCACGACCGAGCCTGTACACGATCTTCCTGCTATTTTACGCAAAATATAATTTGATACCATTGAAAGTATATGCGTAGCGAAATATTCGGATAACAGAATTTTGAAACGGCGCATTCGTTGGGCGTTGAGTAATATTTAATACGAGTACACTTTTTAAATAAATATTTAGAAAGATAGGATAGCGGAATATTTGAGAAAAATTAGAAATAATTGAAAATTAAAAATATAGAACGACTCGTTTCGCAAGTTCCACGTTTTGGCCCTTAATATGAATTAATGAAATGAAACGAATATGAATTTTGTTTGAACAGGAAAACATCGTGCCATTATACTCTGCAACGAATTAGCGATCGCAGATAAGTCGATAAATAATTCAGGTGACGATCGATCGATTACTGGCTTTAGCGAAGTGCAGAAACGCTACGCGATCCGATTGGTTGTTCTCTGATTGATAAACGATAATTTCAATCGCGAGGAAAAGGAAACTCGCCGATAAAGACGCTCTTATAAATCGAACCATGTATTTTGCCCCTGTGTATCGTACATTCGCAAAACATACGATTCTCGGAATCTAAATATGGGATAATTAAGTTGGACTCGAGAATTGTAATAACCAAATCTGATATTCTGTAAAATGAAAGATATCTTAGAAATAGATAAAACGAAACATCGTAATTTTTGGGTAAACACGAGCAAATAAGGAACGTCATTTTTTAAACTAACTTGGTATTTTCAGAATTTCATTTTTATTTTATATCTAGCGCGATTAAACACACAAAATTACGAAGACTTTGAAAGATTTCGAAAGATTCGCTTCATTTCTAAAAATGAAACATAAAGTTACAGGACATTTGAAAGAATCATTGCTAATATTCACGACTCGTTCCAATTTTCCGCTAAAAATTTTCTTAAATCGTAAACAATTCTTTTCGTTCGTTAAAAGTAACAGCGAGATCGAAATATAAAAATTGGAGGATCACAAATTCTGGATAAACTACGCTCGAAACGTAAACGAAACGAATCGTTTAAAATTCCTCTTCACCGTCGAGCAACCTCGATATCGTCTCGAAGAAAATGAAAATCAAATTTTCAACGTAATCTCTGTCCCCCGCTGAGTAAGTAACCAGCGACCATCGAAAATATGTTGCACTTTTCCAGCAATTCAACGTATCCCTGTTCCATAGATCCCTTTCTCTTGGTCCCTGGTTATCTTGCTCGGTCGAGCAACGCGAGAGATGACGTAGCGAAGTAAATGGAGTGGACAGCGGGCAGCATATGCTTTGTGCCTGGTCCTTCTACAAAACGAAACCACCCCACGGAGGAATATTTCGCGGTGGTGTGCGCGAAATGTCGGTGCGTTGAACCGGAAGCGCGAGATAACATTCACCAGCCACCGGCCATGATTTATACGGCCGGCCGTAATCTATAGAGATTTCGACGTAGTCCACCGTCCAGACTTTTAGCTAGAAACTCTACTCGATCTTCTGGTGCGGTAGAGTGCTCGTTCATCGAATTCTGTTCTCGAAGAGCATAGAATAATTTGGTTGCACAGCGGAGGAAAATTATCCGATTGAGATATTGAGTTGGCAACTAAATCGTGATGGACAGTGAGACGCGTTGTTGGTTAAATTAACAACGAGACGAGTTAATTCAATTAACTATATTTACATGTCGGAGTCAGGTTGTCATTTTGGGACGTTCGATGAAACTTTACTTACTTTACCGTCGCGGAAGTAGCTAATGTTTATCGGCACAAATGTGGACACTACAAGAGGCTATGAATAATAGCGGCGATAGGATGGTCGAGATGAGGGTGACTACGAATTCAGGTTCGATAACGAATCCACGGTCCACGGGAGGACAAGTATCAACGTAATACTCGATTCGGGTAACTTCTCGATAACTCAATCAGCAATTCGTCCAACGACTAACTAACAAACTGACTCCCTCGTAATCCAAAAGAAAGTGCCCTTATATACTCCTGTCCTCACTTCTCGGGTCAATCTTCGTTTTTAAGGAGAGCTATATAATCGTTTCATACCTCTGTCAGATACACGTCCCTCCCGTGACCGTGGCTACGTCTAGTGACCCGCTACGTCGCTTCGAGCCCGAACCCATCGTCATGAAGTCAGATTGGAACGTTAAATCTATTTTTTATTTTTATTACTTAAGTGTAGCTATAGTAAAAGTCTGGACGAGGGTATTGGGGTCTTTCCCAACATTCTTTCATTTCCGACATACAGATATTTTAAAATGTAGAATACAAAGTTAATCGCAAGATTGAGCGATACTGATACCAATTGTTACGGTAATTCGCTAGACTGATTCGTTGTACTTATTCGCTCGACTGACTGTCTGATTGACCGACTGTTGGAGAACATGGTCGTCTATTTATACTGGTCGAGGGGGTACCAGAAGGTTTAAACTTGTCGCCGGTTGTAGGTTGCACGTAGCAGCGACAAACCAGAGTTTCTTTATTACATTATGTGCGTCGTACAGTGTTAATCCTCTGTGGTAAAACAACTATGTGAGGCATCTTCGTATCGAAACGTCCTAAGACGCATGTGTCGCTACAAAGCGTCATTAGGTGGTTTTGACAAAATCCGCGATCACTTGGTTGCCAACCCAATATTTCGACAAAATAGCCGCAATAAATAAGGCGAAGGGATAATTCGGTGTAAAATTTGCTTCCATTACGACCTCGAGCTGGGCATTTCGACGATCAGAAAGAAGCAAAACAAGCGTATCTCCTTAACAGATTAGGCATCTCCGAAACTAGAAAAAGTTGGGAATAAAAGAAAAAGGAATATAGGGGCCAGCGATGTCACGTGGTCTTCGATCAATGGAAAGAAGAGAATAAATTGATAGTTTGTCGAACGGCGGGACGTCCCCTAATATTTCCGAATGTAATCGAGGGGGTGTACACGTACTTGGAGAAGCAAGAAAAAAAAAGGAAAACTAGAAAGTATCGGTGAAAAGGGTGAGGAGTGGATGAACAAGGCAGGAGAGAAAAGAGGGGCGAAAAAAGAAAAACGAAAAAAGTTGGACAATGCAGTTACGATTCAGGATAGAGAGGGCGAGTGGACGACACCCGTGTTCCGGGGGTATTTTATTGGCTGGTTTCCGTGGGGTGGAAATTCCGTGTAATGTATGAGATGTTTGCGTGGACTCTTTTTAACCCTCTACCCTTGCATACGTTAACTATCTTCTATGCGCGTTTTCGCTTAAACCATCCCTTTGAAACAGCGTATCAGATGAATTGCGAGCAGACGTCGACGGATAAACGTTCGTGCAAAGATTAAGAAACATCGTTGCAATCGAGGATATTCTTGGAAGAAACTTCAAGCTTGGTCGGAAATCTTAAAATTACGTTGGTCTTAGAATTTTACAGTTGAAATTGACGATATTTGTTTTAGGAGAAACCGAACAAGTGGGAACAATGGAATCTCTTTTCCTATATCTTCGTAGAAGGAGATGTATTTTTCTGTATATTCTCATCTTCCGTACCCTGTACTTGGAAATTTCGTTGTAAATTTTCTGTAAATTGTAAAATAATCAAAGGGAGGGAAATTTGTAAAAAATTAGAAAAGGCAAGTAGACAATTTCTTCGACGGACTTGCGATTAACCAGCGTTCCGTTTCCGATAACCCTTCGGGTCGTGTGATCCA